TGTTTGCATACCGCGCTTATGCACATTTGCGCTTAGAAGCGGTTTTAAAAGATAACCTCAGGAGACCTTCCTAAATGCCCAGAATGCACTGAAAAATAGTAATTGAACTATTTCAGACATTTTGAGAGAAATAGAGCAGAAGCAGAGAGAGCAGTATGTGTTGAGATGACCTGTCTTTTCTGGTTGTATGCACTGTGGATCCCATCATGAGTATAATGCGGCACGTTCTACCATTTTTTCCTTTACACGAAACCTGGAACTGACTGCGCTGGTGTACCGGGTCCATTTGAATACATGGAAAACACTCTGCATGCATTTCTGATTATGAAAAAAGGCTCTGGACATAGAACAGTTAAACGGTTAACTGCGTTTACAAGCATTTGGTGTTTGAAATGCTAGTAAAATCTGAACGCTAGTTTGGTGCGTTCAAAAAAAAGACTAAACTCAACTGCCTGTAAACGACGATGTGTACATGGACACATAGGAAAACATTAGGGAGAGTGAAGTCAATCTCCCTGACGCGTCGCTATCAGAAAGTTCAGGGGCTGCTGAAAAAAACGCAGAAAAGCTCCTGAACGTCATTTTAGCAGCTACAGTGTTTCTGAGCTCTTACAGTAGGTTCACACCCATGCAATTTGCGTTTGATCTGTTTCTGCAGTGCATGCAGCATTTTTGCACATGCATTTTTGATGAGTTTTGCATTTTTTTTCTCTCCCAACTTGTTGCTGGGCAGATTAAAATGCGTAAAATAACGCACTACATGCATTTCTGCAGCGTCTCCATTGGAGTCTATTGAACTGAAATGCATTGTTTTGCATTTAAAAAAATCCCTGACCCTTTCCAAAAAAAACGCGGAGATGTGAACTTGTCCCGTAGGAAATCGTGTTAAATGGACTGTAGTGCATTTCTGCAAAATGCTAAGTCTAGCTTCACACCTATGCATTTTGCAGAAACGCACTACAGTCCATTTAACACGATTTCCTATGGGACACGTTCACATCTACGTGTTTTCACCCAATGTGATTTTTGGAAAGGGTCAGCCTGTGTTCACACTGAGGCAGTGCGGCACAACGCATGTGATTCGCACAGGAACCGCACTGCATTCCTGTGCAAATCATATGCGATTTCTGTGCGGTGCAATTTGAGCCATACGTCTTGTATGATGCAGGACCCTTTTTTTGTCTGCACCAGCTTCGGATTGCATGGGTGTTCACATCCATGTGATCTGATTCTGCAAATCGCATTGCATTTTGCAAACTGATTTCAAGGTGTTGTTAACTTAAAATACACACCCGCAGTGGTTTGTATGAATGGAGTGCATTGCACCGATTTATGTGGTGCAAAAATCACACAGAAACTGGTGCGAATTCCGCACTGCATCAGTGTGAACCTGGGCTCAGGGACTTTTTTTAAACGCACAATGTTATGTTTTTGGTTCAATGGAGATGCTGCAGAAATGCATGTGCGTTTTTGATGCATTTTGTATTTTAATCTGCCCAGTAACAAGTTGGGGGAAAAAAACGTGCAAAAACGCAGCGCAAAAAGCACTGCAGAAACAGATCAAATGCAGACTGCATAGGTGTAAACCCAGACTTCGGTGTTAACCTAGACTTATGCCCCGTACACACAATAAGAAAATCGCACAGAAAATTTTGCAGAACCACTGATCGAACGATTTTCTCTTTGTTGATGAGCAGGATGTTTTAACCAATAACGATATTGTGAATGAAAAAATCCGGTTGATCAATAGTGAAAAATATTGTCGTTTCGCATACGAACGACCGATTTTCTATGTGGTGGTATGACGGTTGTACGAAAAAAAATCTATCAAGCGCTATCACGCATGAGAGGAAACAGAAGATGACTCGGATGTTTATGTCTAAGGAATCTTTGTAAACACAATCGAAAAATCCAAATGCTAAAAGTAGATTGGCCTAATAAGATAATGGAACCAGAATTCTACATATTATATTTTATGTATCACTAGTTATGTATATAGGTCATGTAATAAACTATATTATACTCATTGCTGGTAATTGTGTATATCGTTCGTTCTGGCCGGAAGGGCGTGGCTACAAGGTCACACGCACACTGCATCACTTCCACTTGTATGGAAAACATCAACACTACGTATTGCCCGACTAACAATTTTTTTTAGATTGGTTAATGTGGGCCACGATTCCAACGAACGAATGCCTCTTGGTCGATTTTCTAATCGTGTATTCCCACCTTTAGGGTTGCTGCCTCATCCCTCTAAAACTGAACACATTAATTACACGGGTTCTGAGGCTGATTTAATGCAGATAATGTACTGAGATTAATACCCTGAATGAGCCACAGAACCTGGCGAATTAGCACAGTTGCTAAATGGTTAGCACTTCCACCTGGCAGTACTAGGGTCCTTGGTTCAAATCCCAACCATGACACCACCTGCCTGTAGTTTGCATGTTCTCCCTGTGCCTGTGTTGGTTTCCTCCAGGTACTCTGGTTTCCTTCCACACTCCAAAGACATGCTGGTGGGTTAATTGGCTTCTGTCTAAATTGACCCTAGTATATGAATGTGAGTTCAGGACCTTAGATTGTACATTCCTTGAGGGTTAGGAACTGATGTGAATGTACAATATCTATGTAAAATCACTATGTAAATTGACGGCGCAGTACAAGTACCTGTAATAATAAATTATACGTTTGGTTTTAAAGGGATGAGGTGGCAACCTTAGACACTTTGGAGGGAGTGATCTGCGGAGAAAAATGGCCATGGCTGAATTATGAGGAGAGGGTATGAAACCCCAAAACAAAAATGTAATAAAGATATTCCAAAGGATTTTTTAAAATGAAAAAATGTCATATCTGCTCTGTGTAATGGTTTTGCATAGAGCTGCCACCGATCCTCCTTTTTCTCAGGTCCCCTGCCAGCGCTCCTGGCTCCTCCTGCCTTCTATGTGCCCCCCATAGTGAGCTGCTTGCTATGGAGGCACGCCTGCGAGCAAGCTCCCATTGTTGCCCAGAGTGTGGCTTGGCCCTACCCTCTGCTCTCTTCACTGGCCAATGGCTTCCTCTGCTGCCTCAATATCCTGTGGGGAGGGCCATTATTCTCAGACATAGGGCTGGATTGAGATCGGGCTCAGGTAAGTGTAAGAGGGGGTTGCACACAGAAGGGTTTTTTAACTTTAATGCAGAGAATGCATTAAAGAGAAGTATGGGCTTTGGGGGGGAAAAAACTTCTACTCACCTAGATGAATTCAGTATTGATCCGATGCTGCATCTGTCCCCTGCCGACTCTGCACAGAGAACTGAGTGATCAAACACCACTGATCACTCAGTTCTCCTCCATTCTGAGCAGAAAGTTGGGACTGTCAGTCTCCAGCTTTCTACTCTGCTCCTCCAGCACTCGCTGGAGTGCCGGGCTGTGGAGGGGGGTGGGATAGGGCTGGCTCAGGCTCTTGGTGGATTGCTGAGAGGCTTAGCCAGGTGCTGGTCCTTGCTTCTTGGTGGATTCTGACCATATGGTCAGGATCTTTTCAGAGCCTGGGCTGGCTCTGTGACATCAGCCAATGGCAGGCTTCATCCCCCTGTCGGCTGGAAACGGGTCAAAGGAGTACAGAACGAACCACGCTCCTGTGACCCATAGGAGAGGTTTAGCCGAAATAGCTTGCATCACAGGAGTGCAGTTTGTTCTGCACTCCTGTGACCCATTTGCAGCTGACAATGGACTGAAGTCCACTGTTGGCTGACATCACTCAGCAGGTCCAGGATGGGGAAAGATCCCGACTTGAAAGTCGGGATCCACCCCAGAGTCTGGAGCAGCACCTTGTTCATCTCAGCGGAGCGCTGAAAGTCTGAGCGAGCAGCTCCCTCCCCCTACACAGTCCAGCGCTCCAGTGAGCACTGGGGGAGGCAGAGCAGAGAGCAGTGACTGACAGTCACTTCTCTCTGCTCAGAGCAGCTGTGAGACCTCAGCAGTCGTGTGATCACTGAGGTCTCACACTTAGAGCCAACGTGGTCAGTTTCAGCATCGGACTGATCCTACATCCACCTAGATTAGTATAAATGGGGGGGCTACTTCTCTTTTAAGGTAAAAAACCTTTCTTCCTTTAGAACCACTGTAAATTGCAGCAATATTGTCAGGATCCTTCCTGAGCCTGGCATGGCTCTTCCTTGTCAGCTCATAGAGGGCAATAGCCTGCTGTTAACTGAGCTGAGGTCACAGCAGAATGAAAGTAAATGTACTCCTGCGACCCTGACCGTTCGCCCAGGAGGGACAGATGCAGCATCCACCCCCACTGCAGGCAGATCCTGAAAGTCTAGGGAAGGCTGTAGGTGGATGGGTTTGAATGCTGTACCGGTGCTTCGGGTCCTGGGATTGTAGGGATGACAGGGAGGACAAAGTGCAGGGATGTAGCTCAACGTGCAAGGGACCTAAACAGAAGCACAGCCGAAAAAAGTTTGGCCATTGAATTTAGGTCTGGACTTTGACTGGGTCATTCTATCACATGAATATGCTTTGATCTAAACCATTCCATTGTAGCTCTGGCTGTATATTTAGGGTCGTTGTCCTGCTGGAAGGTGAACCTCTGCCCCAGTCTCAAGTCTTTTGCAGACTCTAATAGGATTTCCTCTAAGATTGCCCTGTATTTGGCTCCATCCATCTTCCGATAAACTCTGACCAGCTTCCCTGTACCTACTGAAGAAAAGCATATCCACAATATGATGCTGCCACCACCATGTTTCACAGTGGGGATGGTGTGTTCAGGGTGATGTGCAGTATTAGTTTTCCGACACGCATAGCGTTTTGCTTTTAAGCCAAAAAGTTCAGTGCTGGTTTCATCTGAATAGAGCACCTTCTTCCACATGTTTGCTGTGTCCCCCACATGGCTTCTCGCAAACTGCAAACGGGACTTCTTATGGCTTTCTTTCAACAATGGCTTTCTTCTTGCCACTCTTCCATAAAGGACAGATTTGTGGAGTGCACGACTAATAGTTGTCCTGTGGACAGATTCTCCCACCTGAGCTGTGCATCTCTGCAGCTCCTCTGTCAGGAATGGACTGGCCAGCAATGGTGGGACTCGCCTGCCTTATGGGCTGCAGTACCAGGGCTGGCCAGCGGGTGCTCCCAGCTCCACCTGGGGGTCCAGCGCCCGCCGCTCCGCCTGGGGGCCCGAGACCTGTCGCTCCGCCTAGGGGTCCGGCGCCCGCTGCTCTGCCTGAAGGCCCGAGACCTGTCGCTCCGCCTGGGGGTCCGAGACCTGTCGCTCCGCCTGGGGGTCCGGCGCCCGCCGCTCCGCCTGGGGGCCCGATGCCTGTCGCCCCGCCTGGGGGCCCGATGCCTGTTGCCCCGTCTGGGGGCCCGATGCCTGTCGCCCCGTCTGGGGGCCCGATGCCTGTCGCCCCTCCTACGGGCCCGGCGCCCGCCACTCCGCCTGGGGGCCTGATGCCTGTCGCCCCGCCTGGGGTCCCGATGCCTGTCGCCCCGCCTGGGGTCCCGATGCCTGTCGCCCCGTCTGGGGGCCCGGTGCCTGTCGCCCCGTCTGGGGGCCTGGTGCCTGCTGCTCCGCCTGGGGGCCTGTTGCTCCGCCTGGGGGCCCGGGGCCTGCTGCTCCGCCTGGTGGCCCGCTGCCTGCTGCTTCGCCTGGTGATCCGATGTGCCTCTGCCCGGAGTCCAGCCCGATGTGCCTCTGCCCGGAGTCCAGCCCGATGTGCCTCTGCCCGGAGTCCAGCCCGATGTGCCTCTGCCCGGAGTCCAGCCCGATGTGCCTCTGCCCGGAGTCCAGCCCGATGTGCCTCTGCCCGGAGTCCTGCCCGATGTGCCTCTGCCCGGAGTCCTGCCCGATGTGCCTCTGCCCGGAGTCCTGCCCGATGTGCCTCTGCCCGGAGTCCTGCCCGATGTGCCTCTGCCCGGAGTCCAGCCCGATGTGCCTCTGCCCGGAGTCCAGCCCGATGTGCCTCTGCCCGGAGTCCAGCCCGATGTGCCGCTGCCCGGTGTGCCGCTGCCCGGTGTGCCGCTGCCCGGATTTCTGCCCGGTGTGCCTCTGCCCGGTGTGCCGCTGCCCGATGGGCCGCTGCCCGGAGTCCTGCCCGGTGTGCCTCTGCCCGGAGTTCTGCCCGGTGTGCCAGTCTTTGATATCCCGCCAGTTACCAGACCCGGGCGGTGGAACATTTTGCCCAGCTAGGACTGTTTGGAGCGTCCTGAGGCCGCTCCTTGAGGGGGGGGGGTACTGTCAGGAATGGACTGGCCAGCAATGGTGGGACTCGCCTGCCTTATGGGCTGCAGTACCAGGGCTGGCCAGCGGGTGCTCCCAGCAATCAGAGACTCAACCTTGCAGCCAGCTAAACACCTGAAACTGCTTATACTGGTGTATTTAAGGGATGGCCAGACCTGCAGACTCTGCCTTGGTGTGTGGTTTTCCTGGGCCCTGTATCCTGTTCCTGCAACCCTGTTCCTGTTCCTGTCTTGTTGCTGACCCTGCCTGATCTGACCTCTGCTGACTTCTCCTGCTCTGACCCCGGCTCGTTCCTGACCATCCCTCTGCCTGACCCTCTGTACCACGCTGCCCGCTACCTGCTGAACCTGGCTTGTGACCCCGACCATTCTCCGCTTGCTCCCCCTGTACCTACCTGCCCGATTGATATTGACCCGGCCTGCCTGACGACGCTTGCATTGTATGTACTGTTATCTGTGGGTGGTTGGTTTGGTTCGTTTGCACTGTGTTATGTTTTAGTATTGCACTGCGTTTATGTTTTGTATTGTTAGTGTTAATAAATTATATTGTTTATAACATATCTGAAGTCTGCGTTTCCCTGCATCAGTCACACACCTCTGGTCATACCCGGGAGCCCTGACATCCTCCAGTTACCATGGGCCTCTTGGCTGCTTCTCTGATTAATGCTCTCCTTGCCCGATCTGTCAGTTTAGATGGATGGCCATGTCTTGGTAGGTTTGCAGTTGTATTTAAACACAGCAACAAATCACCCTATAGCAGTGATGGCGAACCTTTTTGAGCCCGAGTGCCCAAACTGCAACCCAAAACCAACTTATTTCTTTCAAAGTGCCAACACTGCAATGAAACCTGAATATCGAGCTTTTGGTTTAGAAAAAACAACTCGTACAGTAGTGCAAACTAATTAACAGTACAGGGATGACCAGAGACTGCGGACACAGTACAGGGATGACCAGAGACTGCGGACACAGTACAGGGATGACCAGAGACTGCGGACAGTACAGGGATGACCAGAGACTGCGGACACAGTACAGGGATGACCAGAGACTGCGGACACAGTACAGGGATGACCAGAGACTGCGGACACAGTACAGGGATGACCAGAGACTGCGGACACAGTACAGGGATGACCAGAGACTGCGGACACAGTACAGGGATGCCCAGAGACTGCGGACACAGTACAGGGATGCCCAGAGACTGCGGACACAGTACAGGGATGACCAGAGACTGCGGACACAGTACAGGAGATGACCAGAGACTGCGGACACAGTACAGGGATGACCAGAGACTGCAGACACAGTACAGGGATGACCAGAGACTGCGGACAGTACAGGAGATGACCAGAGACTGCGGACAGTACAGGAGATGACCAGAGACTGCGGACACAGTACAGGAGATGACCAGAGACTGCGGACACAGTACAAGAGATGACCAGAGACTGCGAACAGTACAGAAGATGACCAGAGACTGCGGACAGTACAGGAGATGACCAGAGACTGCGGACAGTACAGGGATGACCAGAGACTGCGGACACAGTACAGGGATGACCAGAGACTGCGGACAGTACAGGGATGACCAGAGACTGCGGACAGTACAGGGATGACCAGAGACTGCGGACACAGTACAGGGATGACCAGTGACTGCGGACAGTACAGGGATGACCAGAGACTGCGGAAAGTACAGGAGATGACCAGAGACTGCAGACACAGTACAGGGATGACCAGAGACTGCAGACACAGTACAGGAATGACCAGAGACTGCAGACACAGTACAGGGATGACCAGAGACTGCGGACACAGTACAGGAGATGACCAGAGACTGCGGACACAGTACAGGGATGACCAGAGACTGCGGACACAGTACAGGGATGACCAGAGACTGCGGACAGTACAGGAGATGACCAGAGACTGCGGACACAGTACAGGAGATGACCAGAGACTGCGGACACAGTACAGGAGATGACCAGAGACTGGACAGTACAGGAGATGACCAGAGACTGCGGACAGTACAGGAGATGACCAGAGACTGCGGACAGTACAGGGATGACCAGAGACTGCAGACAGTACAGGGATGACCAGAGACTGCAGAGACACAGTACAGGAGATGACCAGAGACTGCGGACACAGTACAGGGATGACCAGAGACTGCGGACAGTACAGGGATGACCAGAGACTGCGGAACAGTACAGGGATGACCAGAGACTGCGGAAAGTACAGGAGATGACCAGAGACTGCGGACAGTACAGGGATGACCAGAGACTGCGGACAGTACAGGAGATGACCAGAGACTGCGGACACAGTACAGATGACCAGTGACTGCGTACAGTACAGGGATGACCAGAGACTGCGGAACAGTACAGGAGATGACCAGAGACTGCGGACAGTACAGGAGATGACCAGAGACTGCGGACAGTACAGGAGATGACCAGAGACTGCGGACACAGTACAGGAGATGACCAGAGACTGCGGACACAGTACAGGAGATGACCAGAGACTGCGAACAGTACAGAAGATGACCAGAGACTGCGGACAGTACAGGAGATGACCAGAGACTGCGGACAGTACAGGGATGACCAGAGACTGCGGACAGTACAGGGATGACCAGAGACTGCGGACACAGTACAGGGATGACCAGAGACTGCGGACAGTACAGGGATGACCAGAGACTGCGGACACAGTACAGGGATGACCAGTGACTGCGGACAGTACAGGGATGACCAGAGACTGCGGAAAGTACAGGAGATGACCAGAGACTGCGGACACAGTACAGGGATGACCAGAGACTGCGGACAGTAGAGGGATGACCAGAGACTGCGGACACAGTACAGGAGATGACCAGAGACTGCGAACAGTACAGAAGATGACCAGAGACTGCGGACAGTACAGGGGATGACCAGAGACTGCGGACAGTACAGGGATGACCAGAGACTGCGGACACAGTACAGAAGATGACCAGAGACTGCGGACAGTACAGGGGATGACCAGAGACTGCGGACACAGTACAGGAGATGACCAGAGACTGCGGACAGTACAGGGGATGACCAGAGACTGCGGACAGTACAGGGATGACCAGAGACTGCGGACAGCACAGGGATAACTGCTGACCTTTGGGGAGGGAGGGGGAGCGGGTACCTGAATTTGACAGGTACCCGCTCTTACTTCCGCAGAGTTTTTTTTTTTTTATCTTACCTGTTCCTTTATCCAGCCGCGCGTTGTCTTCCCGGCTTCTGTAGTGTGGGCGGACAGCCAGATGCCCAGTGCGCATGCGCGAGAAGCGCTGCGCTTTGTGATTGGTCCGGCGGCTTCTGGGATCTGTCATGTGTCCCAGGTACCGCCTTACCATTCACAAAGAGCACTGCTTCTTGTGCATGCGCACTTGGGACCCGGCTGTCACGCACACTACAGCCGGGAAGACAGCGCGCCGCTGGATTCTCCTGGCGTGCCCACAGATAAGGCTCGGCATGCCGGCTGTGGCACGCGTGACACGGGTTCGCCATCACTGCCCTATAGTAGCCCAGAAAAGTTATCCACCTCCACCCTTGAAGGCTAATTAAACAAAATAATAAAACTTTTCCCTAAAACAAATAGATAACAATCAAATAAACAAAAAGATAAAATAAAACCCACATAAAAAACATAAAGCCATAAAAATTGTCCAAAATTCAAAAAATACAAAAATAATAATCCAAAAAAAAATCCAAAAAAATAATCCCCACAGGTGTAAATAATAATTTTCTTTCTTCTTTCATCAAAGACTCCTTCTCAATATCCGCAAATCCTGATGACAGTACACCTCAAAAAGAAAAAACTTGACATAGTGTCATACCTTTTACATAATACAACACACGTGCCACGCAGCATGCAAAATCCTTTATAAATGTGTATACTCTATAGACGAGTATCTATACACATGCACATATACTATAGTGAATATAGATATAAGTGAAACATACTCATATAAAAAAGTGTCAAAAGCACCATGTGTAAAAACAACTCCCAATTAACACTGCAAGTGTGTATCTCAGTGATCCCCTGAACCCAAAACAACACTCTCCAACTCATGTGCTGATGGGTAATTACCCTATATCAAAAACATCAGGGCAGGACACCACTCTGGGTTAATTTCTCCTCAAACCGATTTAATCCAATGCTAGGGTTTTTCTTCCATTCTCAAGAAAATCCACAGTCACAGATAGTATATAACATATCCTCCTTTATTGGTAACTTACATAAAATCTGGGTGAAAACAGCTCCTCCTCACAGGGATACAAGTGTGGACAGATTCAGGGAAACACTAGCCACATGTTCCCACTTCCAAGATGGCCGCGATCGCACTTCCGGTCAACGTCGATACGTCTGACGTCACGTGTCTTGACGCGTTTCGTCACTTCCTATGACTTTTTCAGAAGGGTAAGGACGTCTGCGCATCGACTCCTTATGTACCGCCCTTCATACACTAACGGCACCATACACGTAAATGGCTGCTCCTCAGTTGCATCCTGGAACTAGGTTTCTGTGCAGAACAGACTGTGTTTCACTTATATCTATATTCACTATAGAATATGTGCATGTGTATAGATACTCATCTATAGAGTATACACATTTATAAAGGATTTTGCATGCTGCTTGGCACGTGTGTTGTATTATGTAAAAGGTATGACACTATGTCAAGTTTTTTCTTTTTGAGGTGTACTGTCATCAGGATTTGCGGATATTGAGAAGGAGTCTTTGATGAAAGAAGAAAGAAAATTATTATTTACACCTGTGGGGATTATTTTTTTGGATTATTTATTATTTTTGTATTTTTTGAATTGGATATTTTGGACAATTTTTATGGCTTTATGTTTTTTTACATGGGTTTTATTTTATCTTTTTGTTTATTTGATTGTTATCTATTTGTTTTAGGGAAAGGTTTGCAGTTGTGCCATACTCTTTCCATTTTTTGGATGATGGATTGAACAGTGCTCTGTGAGATGTTCAAAGCTTATGAAATTGTTTTATAACCTAACCCTGCTTTAATCTTACCCACAACTTTATCTGTGATCTGTGTTCCTTGGCCTTCATGATGCTGTTTGTTCACTAATGTTCTCTAACAAATTTCTGAAGGCTTCACAGAACAACTGTATTTATACTGAGATTAAATTACACACAGGTGGACTCTATTTACTAATTAGGTGAATTCTGAAGGCAGTTGGTTTCACTAGATTTTAGTTAGGGGTATCAGAGTAAAGGGGGCTGAATACACTTTTCAGATATTTATTTGTAAAAACATTTTGAAAACCATTTATCATTTTCCTTCCACTTCACAATTTTGTGCAACTTTGTGTTGGTCTATCACATAAAATCCCAATAAAATACATTTATGTTTTTGGCTGTAACATTACAAAATGTGGAAAATTGGGAGGGGTATGAATATTTTTTCAAGGCACTGTGTCACTATGTGACAGCTCAAATAAAGTTGAAAAAAAACAATGCAATGCACATCATACAGTTCCCTACTGTCACCAACACTGCACTAGCCTGCATACCACTAACCACTGCACTAGCTAGAGCAGAAGAATGCAGCAAGAAAAGATTAATGCATAGTTGCTCCAGGTCTGTGACTGAGAATACACTGAAGCCTTTGAAACTGGTAAGTGGCATTTTCAAATGAAGAGGTCAGCAGTGTCAGCCCAAATATTTTTCCTGTAGTGCTATACTGCTGCCCTGAGTGCTGTAGGGATTTGGGGAATTGTGCTAGAAGGGGTGCATTGGGGATTTGAATGAGGAAGGGGGATGGGGGGGATTTATGCTAGTAGGGGTGACTGGGAAGATTAATGCTTGGAGAGGGGATGGGGGGGATTTGTGCTGTGAGAAGGGTATTTGGGGGGGGGGGATTTGTGCTGGGAGAGGGGATTTGGAGGGATTTGTGGTAGAACAGAGGGATTTGGGGGGAAGAGGACATTTAAGGGGTAAAGGATTTGTGCTGGGAGGGGGGATTTGTACTGGAAGAGGGGGAATTTTTGTTTGGGGAAAATTTTGGCTTGCAAAACGAATTTATGCTTGAGGGTAAGTGTGAAAATAGTGCTCACATTTATTTGGATTGGAGAGAAAGGGTTTTTGCTAACAAATAATGCTCATACATTTTGTTTTGGGGGGGGGGGGCGCTCTTTGGCATCTTCGCCCTGGGTTTTATATGACCTTGTCCTGGCCTTGCTGCCATAGTGGATAGACTGGGGAAGGGTTAGATGCTCTGTCAAGTCTTTATTGTTGTGTCCCCATTGGGGAGCTTCATCCTACTATTTGTACTGATGACCATTGTAACAGAAAGTGAAGGGACGTCCAACACTTTAGTTGTCCCCAGAACAAGAGGTGAGGCAAAATCTTCCAACGGAGACATCTGTTCTGATAACAACCATCTAAGGCAGGGGTCCTCAAACTATGGCCCGCGGGCCACATGCGGCTCGCTGAGGACATTTATCCAGCCCGCCGGCAGGGGCGTATTTGTTGCGAGGAAGGGACACGAAGTACAGGGGCGGGCAGGGGGCTGCTGTATCTTACCTGGCTCCGTGTCCCAGTCCCATGATAATCTAGTCCAGGAAGCGCTGCTCCTTCATTCACTCTGGCCACTCCCTCACTCGATGTTCGTGCTGCCGCTCGGCTCCGCCTCCTCACCGGTAATTGGGAGCCAGAACTGTAGCTCAGGAAAGGCACACAGGCGGCCAATCACCTGCGAGGAGGCGAAGCCGAGTGGCCCCGCGAACATCGAGTGAGGGAGAGGCCACAATGAAGAAGGACAGCTGACAGGTAAGTGTGCCGTGCAGATGGTGCTGCTGCAACCAGGTATGTCGGCTGCAGCAGCACCATACTGGAATGGGTCAGCAAGTTAAGTGTCAGTGGGAGAAGTAGTGCCCCATCATTGGTGTCACTGATACTAATGATGGGGCATTATTCTTCCCACTGACACCAACGACGGGGCACTATTCCTCCCACCACTGACACCAACGATGGGGCACTATTCCACCCCTCACTGACACCAACGATGGAACACTATTCCTTCCCCCACTGACACCAATGTTGGGACACTATACCCCCCCCACTGACACCAATGACGGGGCACTATCCCCCCCCCCACTGACACCAATGACGTACTATTCCTCTTACTGACACCAAAGATGGTGCACTATTCTTCCCACTGACACCAATGATGGGACATTATTCCTCCCAATGACACTAATGATGGGACACTATTCCTCCCACTGACACCAATGTTGGGACACTATCCCCTTCCCCCACTGACACCAATGACGGGGCACTATTCCCCCCCCCCCACACTGATACCAACGATGGGGCACTATTCCTCCCCCCACTGACACCAACAATGGGGCACTATTCCTCCCCCCACTGACACCAATGATGGAGCACTGTTCCTCCCACTGACAGCAATGATGGGGCACTATTTTGCTCCATAAGACACACTTGGGGGGAAATGTCTGTGCGTCTTATGGAGCGTCCGGCCCAGTATTCCCGCCGCCGTTGTATGTCCGCAGTCTCTGGTCATCTCCTGTACTGTGTCCGCAGTCTCTGGTCATCTCTGTACTGTGTCCGCAGTCTCTGGTCATCTCCTGTACTGTGTCCGCAGTCTCTGGTCATCTCCTGTCCTGTGTCCGCAGTCTCTGGTCATCTCCTGTCCTGTGTCCGCAGTCTCTGGTCACCTCCTGTACTGTGTCCGCAGTCTCTGGTCATCTCCTGTCCTGTGTCCGCAGTCTCTGGTCATCTCCTGTACTGTGTCCGCAGTCTCTGGTCATCTCCTGTACTGTGTCTGCAGTCTCTGGTCATCTCCTGTACTATGTCCGCAGTCTCTGGTCATCGCCTGTACTGTGTTCGCATTTGTTAATAGTGTTTTTTTTTCAAACTATAGTCCAGCCCTGCAACGGTCTGAGGGACAGTGTGAACTGGCCCCCTATTTAAAACGTTTGAGGACCCCTGATCTAAGGCTAGGTTCACACCTATGCAGGTTGCGTTTGAGCCGTTTTTGCATTGCATTTTGTAGTGAATTTTTGCACCTGCGTTTCTGCCACGTTTTGCAGGTTTTTTTTTTTTTTATTTCTTTTTATTTTTCTTGTTGCTAGGGAGATTTAAAATGCAGCAAAAACGCAAAACATGCTTTTCTGCAGCATTTCCATTGAAGTCTATAGAACCAGAAACGCAGCATTTTGCATTTTTAAAAAAGTCCCTGACCCTTTCCAAACAATGCATCGGGTGAAAATGCGCAGATGTGAACATGTCCCATAGTAAAACTCATGTAGAATTCACCTCCGCAACATGTCCAAGATACGACCGTTCCTAACCTCGGAAACCACTAAGCAACTCATTCACTCCCTTGTTATATCTCACCTTGACTATTTTAACTCCCTCCTCATTGGCCTAACTAATCACAGGCTATCCCCACTCCAGTCCATCATGAATGCTGCTGCCATACTCATCCACCTTACTAACCATTCTGTATCTGCCACCCCTCTCTGCCAATCCCTCCACTGGCTTCCCATTGCCCAACGGATAAAATTCAAAACACTAACACTGACGTATAAAGCCGTTCATAACACTGCCCCTAATTACATCACCGACTTGTCTCTAAATACCACCCAAACCGTACTCTCCGCTCCTCGCAAGACCTCCTACTCTCTAGCTCCCTTGTCTCCAGGACTTCTCAAGGGCTTCACCCATCCTCTGGAACTCCCTACCCCAATCTATCAGGCTATCGCCTACTCTCCTCACTTTCAGGCGCACTCTGAAAACCTATCTCTTCAGGAAAGCCTACACCAACCCCAGCTAATATTGCAATCCTCTACTCTTCCTACCACTCCATCCCCCACAGCTAATTATCTCTTGTACCACTATCCCCTCCCTCCTAGATTGTAAGCTCCAAGGAGCAGGGCCCTCAAATCCCTCTTGTATTTAACTGTATTGTTACTGTAATGTCTCCCTCCATTATGTAAAGCGCTGAGCAAACTGTCGGTGCTGTATAAGTCCTGTATAATAATAATAATAGTAAATCATATTCAATGGACTGTACTGCGTTTCTGAAAAATGCTGCAGAAAATGCTTAGGTGTGAACCTAGGGTAAGAGTTGAATTTTCCATACTTTGTGAATTTTCTTTAACTTCTGGTTGTTTCTCTGGGACAGGAAGTGGAAAAAACAATTTCCCCAATGGCATACAGAAAAAAAAAACTAAACAGAAAAAAGCCAGCATTCAAAACATAAATGGTAAAATTTTAATGTCATTTTTTTATAATGTCACAATATGCAACTATAGACACAATATTATTATTATACAGGATTTATATAGCGCCAACAGTTTGCGCATCACTTTACAAAATGAAGGAAGACATTACAGTTACAATACAATTTGTTACAAGAGAAAACAGAGAGCCCTGCTCGTTAGAGCTTACAATCTAGGAGACACCAATGACTCAATGCCACGGCAGACTCATTTCTCAAGGCTGTCTCCCACCTTGAAAAATAGGTTCGCTATGGCCCCCAACCGTTGGTGTATTGTGTCTATTTTTACACATTTTTGTATTATCATCACAAAATAATACCATTAAACTGTTGAGGTCTTTGAGTTGAGCGCTGGCTCTTTCTCTTTTTGGTTGCTTTACAGCAGGGGTCTCCAAACTTTCCGATCGAAGGGCCAGTTTACTAACTATCCTCTGGGCTTTGGGGAGCAGACTGTAGCCAGCAGGAGTAGAAAATGCCCCGGCCTCAGTGCCCCATCATTGGTTTTCAAGGGAAAAATGGTGCCCCATTGTTATCATTAAGAAGAATAGTCGATCCTGAATACGGCTGCCAGACTCATTCACCTTTCCAACCGCTCCGTTTCCGCCACCCCCCTCTGCCAATCCCTCCACTGGCTTCCGATTGCACAACGGATCAAATTCAAAATCCTAACACTGACGTACAAAGCTGTCCACCATACTGCCCCGAACTACATCACTGACCTAATATCCAAGTATCGCCCAGCACGCACACTCCGCTCCTCACAAGACCTCCTTCTCTCTAGTTCCCTGGTCTCCTCCTCCCATGCCCGCCTCCAGGACTTCTCCAGGGTGTCACCCATCCTCTGGAACTCCCTGCCCCAACCCATCAGATTATCACCTACTCTCCTCTCCTTTAGGCGCACCATGAAAACCCACCTCTTTAGGGAAGCCTACCCCACCCCCTGCTAACTTGCTGACCTCCTCCACTCTTCCTACCACTCCATCCCCCACAGCTATCTCCTCCTGTGCCACCATCCCCTCACTCCTAGATTGTAAGCTCGAAAGCGCAGGGCCCTCAATCCCTCATGTTTTGCATTGTATTGGTATTGTTGTCACATGTTCTGTCCCCCTTTGTAATGTACAGCGCTGAGCGAACTATTGGCGCTTTATAAAAACTGTATAATAATAATAATAGTGCCCTATTGATTGCGTCAGTAGAGCGAATGGTGCCCCATCATTGGTGTCAGTTGCTGGAATAGTGCCCCCAGGACCAGATAAGGGCAAGTAAAGGACCACATCTGGCCCCTGGGCCACAGTTTGGAGACCACTGCTTTATGGTGTCACCGTATGTCATAACATTGGCATGGGGTTTTAAATGAGAGAAGCCCAAAAGAAAGACACAAGAGACCCTCTCTTGTGGGCCACAGCTATGTACTTACTTTTGCTCTTCTGTGAGCCAGATTCAACTGGAGGTGGGCTATTGCCATCTTTCAGCTGATGGGACGGAGTCACTCCAGGCTCTGGAAGTATCCTGACAATATTGTTGGGATCCATCTGGCGGCCTGATTGACAGCGAATGGCTGACAGCCAGAGCCATCTGTGCTGATTCCTCCCCTGCCCAGCTCTCCAGTGAGCACTGAAGGGGCAGAGTGGAGAGTGGTGACTGACCGTCACTGCTCTCTGCTTCTAACAAACCAAGAAGTGAGCAATCAGCAGTCATGTGATCATTCAGTTTTTGGTGTCAGGGCCAATGGGGGACACCTGCACCATGTGGTTTTATGTCTACCTGTTTTTCTCTTTTAACCATTTCCTACTCAAGCCAAACCTTTATCAAAAAGAGAAAGAGTAAAACTATCGATATTACAACTGTAGTATGATGGTGCTCTATAAATCAGCTACTGTTACCAGTAAGACCGTCTTTCCACCCTAAGGCTACTTTTACACTGATCTTCTGCAAAAACGCATATGTTCTTTTACCGTACTTTCTGAGCATTTTTTTTAAAGGACAGAAGATTTAAAAACTGCACCAAAAGGCGCTTCTCAGAGGCGGTGTTGAGCTTTGTAGGCATTTTTCACTGACTTCAATGGTAAGATACGTTTTTAGGGTTTTTGTTTAAATGAACAAACATGCTCCAAAGATGCTGCAAGCAAGACGTAAAAAGTGCTTCAAAAGCTCCTCAGTGTGAAAGCAGCCTTATAGAAGGCTTTATTGCCGAAAACATCACTAGTATTCATTCACAAAGCCCTCCTTCCGCCCTCACTCATTGTCCTTTACTTCCGCCAGGAGCTGACGCACGGGAGGGCGTGTTAGTGCATTGAAATACTCAATACCACTGTCCCATCGTCCTTTTCGCCTGGGCGAGATCTGGGCTCCTCTCGCGAGATCTCGCCCTCTTCCTAGGCCGTCACTGAGAGAGGACGGTGAGTGCGGCAGATCCTCCGAGAGGAATGTGTCTTTTTTTTTCTGTGTGTTCCCACCGACGGCCCGAAATGGCGGCGTGTGCTCACGGTACAGAGCCCCTTCTTCCCCGGCGTGCAATGCCCTCCCTGTGCGGGGCGGTGTGTGCGGAGGATGGCGATGGATGCTGGTGAATGGATCGGAGCGGCCAGGCGGGTGATGGTGGATGTGGGGGGATGGAGCCGGGCTGCACGTGTGTGTATAGAGGGGTGCTCTGTATTGTACAGCACAGGCCTCACTAATGGTGTGTTCATACGAATCACCTGGCCATACACTATACAATCTTCCATAGACTTACCCACACTGTGTCAGAAAAGGACACACATAATTACCTGCATTCCTATGACACCAAGTAGGCCTCTGTGCTACTTATGTGTTGGGAGAGCTAAGGCAGATTGTACGATCAGATTGTAGAGTGTATGGGCAGCTTTTCTGTATTGATGAACACTGCTGTGATGGCTGATCACTCCGGGATGGTGTATCCTGCCGCCTGAGATCCATTGCTAAGGTTTGTGTACATCAGGCCTGGTGTGTGGAGTATGAATGGAGGGAGCTCTGGGGTATACAGCTCAGAAGGGTCAGGGAAGTGTAATGTGTCTGTTGGGTCGGACCTGTCCCTGGGTCTGTGCCCGCGGGGGGGGGGTCGGACCTGTCCCTGGGTCTGTGCCGCGGGGGGGGGGGGTCGGACCTGTCCCTGGGTCTGTGCCCGCGGGGGGGGGGGTCGGACCTGTCCCTGGGTCTGTGCCCGCGGGGGGGGGGGGGTCGGACCTGTCCCTGGGTCTGTGCCCGCGGGGGGGGGGTCGGACCTGTCCCTGGGTCTGTGCCCGCGGGGGGGGGGTCGGACCTGTCCCTGGGTCTGTGCCCGCGGGGGGGGGGGGTCGGACCTGTCCCTGGGTCTGTGCCCGGGGGTGGGGGGGGGGGGGGGGTCGGACCTGTCCCTGGGTCTGTGTCCCGCCCGCGGGGGGGGGTCGGACCTGTCCCTGGGTCTGTGCCCGCTGTCGGACCTGTCCCTGGGTCTGTGCCCGCGGGGGGGGGGGTCGGACCTGTCCCGGGGGGGGGGACCTGTCCCTGGGTCTGTGCCCGCGGGGGGGGGTCGGACCTGTCCCTGGGTCTGTGCCCGCGGGGGGGTCGGACCTGTCCCTGGGTCTGTGCCCGGGTTGGTGCCCGCAGGGGGTTGGACCTGTCCCGTGCTTTCTGGTTAAGTGTGCTCCTCCTGTCCTTCCTATTCTATGAATGGGGATAGTTGCTGTAAATTGGACAGCTTGGTCTGTTAAAGTGGTAGTAAATGTGGGGAAGAATACCCTGTAAGGTAAAGGCATGATGTGCTGGTATACATTGAATACTAGCACATTATGAAAGACTTGCCTGAGAAAATGTCCTCCCAGCAGCATGGTATCACTGCCTTAGAGACTCCTGGTCTTCCATCTGGGTTCCTGCGCTGCAGCCAATTAAATGGCTGAACCGTGATGATGTCACTCCTGAGCATGTGCACGGCGGCCACGGCATGGATCTCTGAAGAAATAGCACGGGTATCCAAATTGAGACTTTACTATCATTTTAAAGGAAGGTGAAATTAGACTTACAGGCTGGAGTCCTGGGGAAAAAAAGCATAAAGAATACAAATGCAGCTATTTAAGGCCTTGATTACTGGGGTGTACTAATGCGTACGCCTGTGAAAGGCTATGTTCCCCCTTTTGGGGAACAGCCATGGATTAGCTGCGGTGATTGCTGCTGCATGCACTTTGTGTGGGTCCAGAAGTGATCACTGCAGATAATTGTGCAAAGAGCCGCTGATAGATGCAGCTGCTGGTGACCTGCCGTTCTGAATGGGGCCGGTGGCCGCACCTACCTGCTCAGCTCTACCTTCCTCAGAAGATTCCTGCTGCTACAGTTCACATTGGCTGTAATTGTCAGTGTGAATGTAACCTTATTCTGCTCTAATTGCAGTTATAGCCATGCTGGTCTTTCCAAGGACTTCCTCTTCTCTCTAGTTGGACTTCCTGGTGGACCTTTGTGGCTTTTGCACCTACCATCATTGCACACGTTGGTGTGTTGATGGGGTGCACTCCCAATGCAGCTTCCCAGCACTGCCTAAAGTGTAGCCTGAGCAACTTTTGGCCTATTGACATGTGATTTATCCCATTGCGTCTGTGTGAATGTAGGCCAACACTGTGTCACACGGGTATTGAAAACATTTGCCAATGGGTATTGCTTAGCATGTTTTGTTCTAATACAGTTACATGCCTTAATGTGGACTTGAATTTTGCTGTCCTTTTACCAATGTACATCTTAACCAACGTGGATATCTTGTGAGGTTGCTCTCATAGGCTCTGTCCTGGTGGCGTATGGGAGCGTAGCGTCTTTATGGCGCAGTGACGTACAGTCCCGTTCCACAACGTTGGAGAACATGCCTGTCCCTGGCCGTCAGGCTGATGCGGACGGCGTCCTGTATATTCCTACAACTTCCCAGAGCCGCTTGGCCTTGACTGGGGAGACAAACCATGCAGGATACAGATCTTTATTTATTGCAATGTCAACACATTTCTTGAAATTGCTTTGTTGGTTGTTTGTCCTTCCTGTTGAATGAATAAGTTAAATGATACTGAGTATTGGTAATTTTGATGACCTTCCTTTATTTCCCTTCTCTTACAGAAAGGCCATGTTCAGTTCAAGCGCCAAAATTGTCAAGCCTAATGGCGAAAAGCCAGACGAGTTTGAGTCTGGCATTTCCCAGGTGAGTAGTTGCACTTTTAACTGATAGCTTTCACTTGTCTTGTAAGCCACTACTGGCTTCAAAGTAAACCTGTGGCAGTGTGAAGACTTATGCTAGGTATACACCCCATTGAGCCTTTGTGTTCTGACAGGGTGGCTGCCCCTGCCAGAACACACTGATCAGCACTCAAAACCATTGGATGCCAGTGCTAATTGGGTGCTGGGTTTCCAGCATGCGCATTTGACAAGCCAGACATTAGACCTATATTTGGCCAGTGTGTACCAGCCTTTAAGCTATGTATGTGAAACATGACAGAGCTGAGAGTGCATAGCACTACTTGCAACCCTTCCAATTGCCTATATGGCACTGGCTAAGGGGTTAGCATTTCTGCCTAGCAGTACTAGGATCACTGATTTGAATCCCAGCCACAGCACTACCTATCTGGAGTTTGCATGTTTCTCCCACAGTCCAAAGATATGCTGGTAGGTTAATTGGATCCTGTCTAAATTGGCCCTATTATGTGTATGAATGTGAGTGCAGGGACCTTGTATTGTAAGCTCCTTGGGGACGGATGTGAATGTAAAATACAGTAATACCTCGGTTTAAGAATTTAATTCATTCTGCAGGACTTATAGCAAAAAATTCTTAAACTGAAACGCCGTTTCCAATAGGAATGCATTGAAAACCAATTAATCTATTCCGGAGATCAGAAAAAAGTAAACACTAATAAATACCGCATGAGTTATTTTATCAAGTCATGCGGCATTTTGGTAGTGACAACCATGTGTTAATATTTCACTGTCACAGTGGGTTCCCCACTGACAGCTGAATGTAAAAAAAATTGCCGGCAATTAAAAAAATAATTAAAAAAAAACTGCGTGGGGTCCCACTTCCCATCCATACCAAGCCCTTCGTGTCTGGTATGGATTTTAAGGGGAACTCCCACGCCAAAATTTAAAACAAAATGGTGTGGGGCTCCTCCCCAAAATCCATACCAGACCCTTTTCAGAGCATGCAGCCTGGCAGGTCAGGAAAGGGGGGGGTGGTCAAACAATGTTTCTTTTTAGTTTCTTAAAAGAAACAACATTTCAGTTAATTTTGGGGAAAGTGACAACTAATTCTGTGAGCTATAGTGGAGAAAAAAAAAGAGCCAGCTACTGCATTTAAAAATCAGCACTGACATACACTTAGTATTGCGAAAAAAATTCATACAAAATTTGTAAACCGAGGCATTATTTTCAGTGGATTTTCATTTGTAAACCAAAAATTACTTTAACCGAGGTGTCTTAAACCGAGGTATTACTAAAGTGCTGTGTGAATCGATGGAGCTATAAAAGTACCTCTAATGAATAAAAAATATATTCGCAACTGTAGGCAGACGATTAAAATTTTGGTATAGTCTTTACCATGGCTTTACTACTGCTTAAAAAAAGAAAAAAAAGGCACATCTTGTAAATCACAAATGCTTAACAAACATTTTATTGCTGTATAAAAGTGTTTCAAAGACACCCAGGACCTGTTGGTCACCTGGCCAGCCTCTTCTCCAGTCAGTTCTTTCTGCTGCTTTAACCAGAGAGACCTCCTTGGGACACCACAGGCTCTATCTATACAGTGGCCTGCATTTTCTGAATGCACACAGGGATGACCTAATCAGTATTCTGCTGCTCTGTTCAGGCTGTGCTGGGTCTTCTGATAAGGTTGTATTGCTTAACCAGAGGTTCCACAAATGACACTGGTATTTATTGGTTATGATGTTCTGAATGTGTCTATAGCATGTTTTTTTTGTTCTATTTTTTTTCCTCCCGAAGAGAACGGTCTCTAGCGACCTAACTTTTCTGTAATAAAGTATGTCCCAAGCTGTACTGAAGTCTTCAGTGTGAAGATGCCCTGTCCTCTTTATGCTGCTGGAAGAGGGTGCAATAATGCAGTGGGAGAAGGCCGAGTCTTCTATGAGACCCAGTTCACACATATACGAATTGGATGCATTTTGAACCACATCCGATTTGCACGACATGTGAACCAAAATCCTTTCCTGTGGAACTGGTTCACATATATGTGAAATGGCTGCAGTGCGATTTTTCAGCCTTGTTCTGGTGCGATTTCCAATGTCATACTAACAATTTACACTGGAGTCACAGCTGAACTGCTAAATTAAACTGCACCAGACTCTCTTACAAATTGCACTGCAAACCAGCCCTGCGCATATATGAACAAGCGTCTGATGGGAGCGCCCCCCCAATTGGGAAATGTTGTTCCATAGGGTATACTGCATATAACACAATCCTTGAGTGAGGTAGGTCTGATGAGTCATATGATTCTGTTCCTATTCATATAATGTTAGATGCAGTATACACAATGAAACTCTCTTTTCCCAAAGAAAAGGGGTGGGTCTTCCTCATCAGCGTGTTCATGGCAACTTATAGGAGGCCATTAACTTGCGCAGCGTTGGAAGTTTCAACAGCAGAAAGAGGATAGGGCATTCCTGCACAAACATTTTTTTTTACTACAGGATCCAGCTGCCTGCACAATGTGGGGCATTCTTCATTACAGGTATGTTGAGTCACCAAAGCTATAGAGAGGATTTTTGGCTAAACGTCAGCTTTAGGAATAATTTTACATTGTTAAGATGTTTGCAGCTGAGCATTTAATACCCGACGTGGATATCCTGTGAGGTTGCTCTCACAGGCTCTGTCCTGGTGGCGTATGGGAGCGTAGCATCTTCTGGTGCAGTGACGTACAGTCCCGTTCCACAACGTTGGAGAATATGCATGTCCCCAGCCTTTGGGCTGGTGTGGACACGCTTCCTGTATATTCCTACGACTTCTCAGAGCTCTTGGGCTATTACTGGGGAGACAAACCATGCAGGGTACACGTCTGTAAATTAGATTACATCTTAACCCCTTGGCACTGGCATCTCCAGGCCCTTTACGGGGTTTCTGAGGCCGGGTGGTCGCATGACCGGAAAGCTCCTGATCACGAGTAGCTATCGTCTTTCCGTGAGGTGCCAGTAGCCGCCAGGGGCACACGCTCTCGGCACATGTTTGTTTACATCGGGTATGCAAATATGCAGCCTCTCTGTCAATGCCCACCTGCCAAGAGGCTGCATATTTGTGTACTGTTGGCACCAAGGAGTTCAAATTGGAGAGTAGATGTGGGCATCTACCTTCTGGTTAGTATACATATTTTAATATGTTCTCCAATAGGTGTTTTTACAAAAAAGTTTGTTTTTCTCCTCCCCTTTTAACATATGATGGTATTGGGAAAACAATTTTGCCTGGTACAGAGTTCATACTCTAAAAGGGAGAAATTGTTAACCCTGGAGTTGTAATCTGTTCCAATTTTAGATGCTTTCCATCATTGTTTTTTAGACAGTTAATGACGTTTAGCTCTAGAAGATAACATTTTTTTTATATTTTAGGGGACATTGGGCATGTGCAGAAGAATGTCACAAAGTTACGTACATGGCTTTGAAGCCTCATGTAGAAGATATTTTGCTCACTCACAAACTGCATATTCGTTCTTGGGCAGTGACCTTGCTAGCAGCATGGATATATAAGCTAGACTTCTCTGGCCAAGAAGTAATTTACAATCTATGAATACTTTTGTCAAAGGCTCAGAAGTCTTAGGAGAGGAAAAAAATCATTAGCATTAATTAGGCATGTTGGTGACCTGGCTCTTGGTATTTGTTCTGGATTATATAGTAATCTATTGTAACATGTTTTTGTGGTTTTCATCATATGTCTGAATTGACCACTTGATGCCCAGTGCATTTACTGACTTAATGCTTTCAAATACTATTTAACACCGCTTTGCATTTAGTGGCTCATTAATCTGGTCATTTTCTATTCTAGGCTCTGCTGGAGTTGGAGATGAACTCTGACCTTAAAGCTCAACTAAGGGAATTAAACATTACTGCAGCAAAGGTATAGTAAACCTGCTCTCAAGCATGTCTCATATCATGGTGACCTTATTGAATGACTTGGCTACAGGGGCATAGGGAAATGACCACTTTCTTCGAAGCATAGGACTAGTATAAAAAAAAACAATACAGGGGGGCTGTGAAGGACTTTACCATCCCATGTGGTGATGGTTCTTTCAAAGTTGGCCTAATGAGGACTAAATTAGGCTCATTGATGATTAACTGTATTATAATAAAATGTGACCGTCAATTCACACTAGCAATCTGGGCTTGGCTACCAGTGGTCTTTAGAAATCATATTTACTGACGTGGATATCCTGTGAGGTTGCTCTCACAGGCTCTGTCCTGGTGGCGTATGGGAGCGTAGCGTCTTCTGGCGCAGTGACGTACAGTCCCGTTCCACAACGTTGGAGAATATGCATGTCCCCCGCCTTTGGGCTGGCGTGGACAGCTTCCTGTATATTCCTACAACTTCCCAGAGCTCTTGGGCTATTACTGGGGAGACAAACCATGCAGGACACATAAATAAAAGATAAATTAAAAGTTCCAGTGTTTCTGCTTTTTAAAAGTTTTCACTTGCTATTGAAATGAGTATATGGTGAGTTATTTGGGTTGGTGCCATTTTACTTGTTTGGGGGTTTTTGATGTGGTGGGGAAAGATATATATATTTTTTTTTTTTGTGTGTGTGCATGTCCTATCGCCTAATGGCTCTGCAGGCTCATGGATAACAAAGTATGTAAGTTTTAGAGAATTAAATATGCAGATATAAGTTTTTTTCATTATGGTCCACATGTCCACTTGAATGATGTGTCATTTTGTAACACTTCAAAAACATTTAAAAAGGTAAGAATTACCCCTACACAGTACTGAAAGGCACATGAAGGAGTCATAGTTGATGTGATCTGGTGTTTACAGGGTGCTTGGCTGTCAGAGCCACTTGCCAAAAGTACTTTAGAGTGATGAAGCCCTTAAAGGATAAGTTCACCTTTCGTAACATGTTACAATCAGACCGGCCACTGCTGTTTTCCCGATCCCTGCTTTGACAACTACCGGGGGATCTTCTGCCCCCTCACTAGCTATCAAATTAAAAAAAAAAAAAAATCACTGTGCAGGGCTCCACACGGCCTTGTCACTTATTCAGTCATCTGTGAATGAGAGACTACAACCCTTAGTGGCTGACAGCTTGTAGTCTGTGTACTGCCACGGTAGTTCATTGATGCTAGTACATCCCGTACACCACTGGTGTATTTAGGTTTTGTGCTGCCCTAGGCAACACAAAAATTGGCACCCCTCCCTTCCCCCGCAGAAAGAGCCTGACCTTTACCAAGAACACCCCTGCCCTCCACCTGAGTCTTCCACTACCACTCCCCCCCATACACCAGCCAACATCCCTAATGGCAAAAGAGAGACTCCCCTTCACAGCTCTGGACATCCTCAGGAATGAGTCTGGCTGTGCATACTGTCCTGAAACCCACCAGGTCCCCATGCCGCGTCTGTGCCTTTTCCAAGGAGCAGCCCCCCCCCCCCCCCCCCCCCCCCCCCCCCTTGTGGCAATACACCCCTGTCGCACCACTTAAAAGCTTTTCCTGAAGGAAAAATGTAGTTTATTATGGAAAGGTTCCTCTGAAATTTTAACTTTTGGCTTTAATATGCCCCTATGGCCCTATGAAGGGATCTTCTGGGGAAGCCATGGTATACACACCTTAATTTTTGCTGTTTCTCACAGGAAATTGAAGTCGGGGGTGGTAGAAAAGCAATAATCATCTTCGTTCCAGTCCCTCAGCTGAAATCTTTCCAGAAGATCCAAGTTAGGCTGGTGCGCGAGCTGGAAAAGAAGTTCAGCGGCAAGCACGTTGTCTTCATTGCTCAGGTAAGAAAATATACTCAAAGCCCAAACCCCCACCCTGATTTTTTTTCTCTTTACCCCCCAAGAGAATGAGCACACCTATTTCTATTGCAGGTTTATACGGAATTTCAAAGCAGTCATTTGCATAGAATAGTGTTCTTGCTTAAGTTTTTCTTATCTCTGGAGACATTGTGTGCCCACCACAGAATTGCATAAGCATTTGCCTAGTTTACATGAATGCTTATTGCTTCTGGCTTCTAATTTAAAAGGACATGTTTGGATACAAATATAGCAGCTGTTGCAGGCCTGTTGGTGTATGCTGTAATCCTGATGTTGTCACTGCCTTGATTATTAATCTGGAACAAGTGTGTTTGTGTCAGGGGTTTTCTTGTCCCACCCCCCCTCTCTGGGTCCGTAACCCCACCGAAGCAAGAAGGATGGGAGCCTTTAACAGTTACCATTGTTTTTGTTGGTGCCTTTCAAGAACTGTACATTGATCATAGTGTAAATTTAGGTTGAATATGAAATTGACATGTTTTTTAATATTGTATGTACATTCATATAAAATAAGACCTAAAAACTTCAACGTGGATATCCTGTGAGGTTGCTCTCATAGGCTCTGTCCTGGTGGCGTATGGGAGCGTAGTGTCTTTGACGCAGTGACGTACAGTCCCGTTCCACAACGTTGGATAACATGCATGTCCCTGGCCTTTGGGCTGGTGCAGACAGCGTCCTGTATATTCCTACGACTTCCTAGAGCCCTTGGGCAATTACTGGGGAGACAAACCATGCAGGACATAAAACTACATAATATACATGTTAGATGGTAGCGTAACACTGCACAAATCTCCTGTATTCGTTTGGTCAGCAGATTTCCTAGTTGCTTTATGCATTTTGGATTCTGAGAAATGTTTTGGATAGATTTGATTGTTTGCTGCCAGGTTTTTGAATTTTTAGAACTCTATGCATGTTAAGGAGAAGACCAGAATCATCTGTTTTAAAATTGTAGGCACTTAAAATGAGGTAACTTATAGGCTGATTTGATGAGGATTGGGGCTGCTGAAAACTATTGCACAGAGGAGGAAGTATGGCATGTTTAAAAAAATAAATACTGTTGCTTTAACGTTAAGGACTCATTCACACATGGTGCAGAGTTGTCAGTTTTTCTGCATGCGTTCTGCAAGGACACAGAGAAATCAGTTCTCTGTGTGCCCTGTTCACACCACAACACTAGTATCACGTGCAGATGTTTGTTGTGCACAAATCTACAACGTATATAAAACCCATTAAGGCATGCGTGAAAACTGATCTCTCTGCAAGTGAAATCTTTCCTACCCTTCGACATATTTTTTTACGTTTCTGGTGGAAACACTTCAATAAATGGTGATTTTGGACTACTTCTGTCTTGAATACAAATGGTATACTTGTGAAAAATTCACTAATGGGGGAAAAAGGTCAAACATGCCACAATGTGCCATTTATTGTGATGCTCAGATGAGCTTAGTGACACATAAAGTTCACACATGCTATTTGAAAGACATGAATGAATGGTGTGTGTTTTGCTCTTAACACAGCTGCTGAGACCTCCTAACTCTGACCTACTGATGGTCTGGTCTCTAAAGGCTCTCATATGTACAAATCGTTACTTTTCATGTTCTCTATAAAGTGTAGTGATGTGAATTGTATTTCCCTGTACAGAGAAGGATTCTGCCCAAACCAACAAGAAAAAGCCGCACAAAAAACAAGCAAAAGCGTCCCAGAAGGTAAGTGGGTTTTTTATTTATTTCAGGTACTTGTATAGCACCATCAATTTCACAGCGCTTTTACATATATATTGTACATTCACATCAGTCCCTAACCCTCAAGGGGTGTACAATCTAAGGTCCCTAACTCACATTCATACATACACATACTAGGGCCAATTTAGACAGGAGCCAATTAACCTACCAGCATGTCTTTGGAGTGTGGGATGAAACCCACGCAGGCACAGGGAGAACATGCAAACTCCAGGCAGGTGGTGCCGTGGTTGGGATTTGAACTGGCGACCCTAGTACTGTCAGGCAGAAGTGCTAACCACTTAACCACTGTGATGTTTTCAAAAGATACTGTCGGTAAAGCTTGAAGCTTAAAAAAAATAAGAACTGCTGTTTTCCTCCCACCTGAAATTTCTGTACTGTTAAACTTTATTGCAGTATCACATGTGGTTCTTGCCCAGGTGTATCAGGTCTTGGATGTCTTCGAGCCTACTCCGCCCTCAGCTAATTACTGATCTCCTTCACTCTTCCTACCACTCCATCCCCCACAGCTATTTCCTCCTGTACCACTATCCCCTCCCTCCTAGATTGTAAGCTCCAAGGAGCAGGGCTCTCAAACCCCTCGTGTATTGTATTGTTACTGTATTGTCTCATGTACTGTCTCCCACTATAATGTACAGCGCTGAGCAAATTTTTGGCGCTATATAAATACTGTATTATAATATATGAGCAGTAGATGTCTGTTTTTCAAGCAGTAGTGTTATATTTATGCAAGTCTCTGTGAAAAATAAAATTTTATATCTAACCCAACATGGATATCCTGTGAGGTTGCTCTCACAGGCTCTGTCCTGGTGGCGTATGGGAGCGTAGCGTTTTCTGGCGCAGTGACGTACAGTCCCGTTCCACAATGTTGGAGAGCATGCATGTCCCCCGCCTTCTGGCTGGTGTGGATGGCTTCCTGTATATTCCTACAGCTTTCCAGAGCTTGCTAGCAGTGACTGGGGAGACAAACCATGCAGGATACATTATATGATTTTCCATGAGAGACAAACATTTTTGCATTGGATAGACTTGAATAAATATTTATGTCAAATTTTTATTGCTATCTTACCTTGATGTGGTGATTTCACCTCCCTTTCTCCCAATTTCCTCCCAAAATCAAAAACTTTCTGGCACCCATAAGTAGAACTAAAGACAAAACTTTTTTCCATTTTGGATAGTGTAAGGGAGGGGTTATAACCCCTGTACAGCTTATTTTTGCCATTTCATGTCTCATTGGGGAGATTTGCCTTCACTTCTGTCCCATAGCTAAACCAGGAAGTAAGAAACTTCTCCAGAGGGAATCCTTGGTTGTCACCTGAACAAATGTCCTCTTTGAAACATTTCCCCACTATTCCTGGTCTAAAGACACACCAAAAGGTGGTTTTTACCGTTCGCCTTTGCAAATAATGGTAAACAGGACTAATAGAGGGTGAATCTTACAGGAGCAGGAAAAAGAAATGGGTGTTCTAACCCCCTCCATTCTATCCAAAAAAAAAAAGGGGGGGGGGGTGAATCACTGAAGACCTCTAATAATTTATGGGCCAAAGGAGCAACTCGTGGTATTAATCGAATTGCATGTTTCTAAAATGGTTCTAGACGGCAAATCTTTAGTTGCTGGGACCTGGCAAGACCATCAAATTAAGCAAGAAATGTCTAACTTTATCTTAAAAGCCTTGAAGTTTAATGACCTTTCCTTAGTTTAAGCCACAGTGATCCTTGGGCAGTGTTAAATTTAGAAATCCATGGGGTGGGGGGGATGTACAGTCAGGTCCATAAATATTGGGACATCGACACAATTCTAACATTTTTGGCTCTATACACCACCACAATGGATTGATTTGAAGTAAAATTTTAACAAGATGTGCTTTAACTGCAGACTGTCAGCTTTAATTTGAGGGTATTTACATCCAAATCAGGTGAACGGTGTAGGAATTACAACAGTTTGCATATGTGCCTCCCACTTGTTATGGGACCAAAAGTAATGGGACAATTAGCTTCTCAACTGTTCCATGGCCAGGTGTGTGTTATTCCCTCATTATCCAAATTACAATGAGCAGATAAAAGGTCCAGAGTTCATTTCAAGTGTGCTATTTGCATTTGGAATCTGTTGCTGTCAACTCTCAAGATCAGATCCAAAGAGCTGTCACTATCAGTGAAGCAAGCCATCATTAGGCTGAAAAAACAAAACAAACCCATCAGAGAGATAGCAAAAACATTAGGCGTGGCCAAAACAACTGTTTGGAACATTCTTAAAAAGAAGGAATGCACCGGTGAGCTCAGCAACACCAAAAGACCCGGAAGACCACAGAAAGCAACTGGTGGATGACCGAAGAATTCTTTCCCTGGTGAAGAGAACACCCTTCACAACAGTTGGCCAGATCAAGAACACTCTCCAGGAGGTAGGTGTATTTGTGCCAAAGTCAACAATCAAGAGAAGACTTCACCAGAATGAATACAGAGGGTTCACCACAAGATGGAAACCATCGGTGAGCCTCAAAAACAGGAAGGCCAGATTAGAGTTTGCCAAACGACATCTAAAAAAAAAGCCTTCACAGTTCTGGAACAACATCCTATGGACAGATGAGACCAAGATCAACTTGTACCAGAGTGATGGGAAGAGAAGAGTATGGAAAAGGAAAGGAACTGCTCATGATCCTAAGCATACCACCTCATCAGTGAAGCATGGTGGTGGTAGTGTCATGGCGTGGGCATGTATGGCTGCCAATGGAACTGTTTCTCTTGTATTTGATGTGACTGCTGACAAAAGCAGCAGGATGAATTCTGAAGTGTTTCGGGCAATATCTGCTCATATTCAGCCAAATGCTTCAGAACTCATTGGACGCCGCTTCACAGTGCAGATGGACAATGACCCAAAGCATACTGCAAAAGCAACCAAAGAGTTTTTTAAGGGAAAGAAGTGGAATGTTATGCAATGGCCAAGTCAATCAGCTGCCCTGATCCGATTGAGCATGCATTTCACTTGCTGAAGACAAAACTGAAGGGAAAATGCCCCAAGAACAAGCAGGAACTGAAGACAGTTGCAGTAGAGGCCTGGCAGAGCATCACCAGGGATGAAACCCAGCGTCTGGTGATGTCTATGCATTCCAGACTTCAGGCTGTAATTGACTGCAAAGGATTTGCAACCAAGTATTAAAAAGTGAAAGTTTGATTTATGATTATTATTCTGTCCCATTACTTTTGGTCCCTTAACAAGTGGGGGGCATATATGCAAACTGTTGCAATTCCTACACTGTTCACCTGATTTGGATGTAAATACCCTCAAATGAAAGCTGACAGTCTGCAGTTAAAGCACATCTTGTTCCTTTCATTTCAAATCCATTGTGGTGGTATATAGAGCCAAAAATGTTAGAATTGTGTCAATGTCCCAATATTTATGGACCTGACTGTAGCTGCTTAGTACTTGGTCTGTTAGCTTCTCCTGTGGCAGCACTCTTAGGCAAAGCTTAGGATAAGAAGCAAGTCCTCAAGAACCTATAAAACCCTGGCAGCAGTGGTCAGAGACCAAAGTCAGTGTAGGTGAGCAGCAGGAATGTAACAGGTTTCTACATAACCCTTTGCAAGCAGGAACTGTAGAAAGGAGATGTTTCCTTGATGCTTTATGGCAGGTAAAAGTGTGCGTGACACTACACCCAGTGGAGGATGCTGGCACTTCCCAGCATGAACACCATCCTAAGTGTGCAACTGGGAACAATGGTGTCCAGTGACCAATAAGAGGGAGCACAGGTGCATGGGCAAACGGGCTTACTGAGTATTCAGGTGAGGCACGTGCAGAGGCAGTGCCAGTGGGTCCAGACATGGAAAGCAAACGTCGGCAAAGCACCTTGTGCAAGAGCAATGTCTGAAGATCACTCCAGGCTAGCCCTACAATGTCCAGTCCTCTGAGGTCTAGATGTTGTGGTCCAAAAGCCAGTCTGAGGACTCCCACGTTGGATAGTTGCAAATTTGGAGGTTTTGTCGACAGCCACGATGAGTTTTAAAGGCAATCCAGGCTGCTATAGTTGCCTGCAAGGCTGCCACATCACCTCCCCATGTACCAGATGCGACAGCGGGGGATACCTTCTTTCAAAGAAATGTGTGGGAGTGGCTTTAACTATATAAATGCAGGAATTAAAGGGAGGGTTAAAATGGCAGAGCTAAAGATTGCTATCTTAGGACACTTGCATGCTGAGGAACTTCTGTCTATCTCAGTCATGAGAGAATATGGTGGTGTAAATTGAGTAGACAAGGTTTAAATATAATCTTAAAAATACTCCTGTGCTGTCATTCATTCAGTAATTAAAGTGCCCAAAACAACAAACAAATTAAATATAAAATACTAAAACTGAGCTGCCGCTGACACCTAATGTGTTCCCACACTTTTAATAAATGAAGATGATAAATATTGATGCCACGCTGCTCAATCAAGCAATTCCTCAATATAATGAACAATATCCCAGTGTCTTCAATGCTAATAAAATTGATATAAACAAGTGAACTTTACGTAACATAAACACATTCAGTGTGACCGTCTTAAGTCCATCAATGTGGTGATTTGAACTACATCCAAATTGTGTTCACCAGTATTTATAGTGACCATTCCACCACAAGTTCTGTGTGAAGCTTTGGTTAATCCCTCACCAGCTCACTTGGACCCATATAGAAATATAGGTCTACTGTGCTTCACCCCTTTAATAGGGAAGAAAATGGGCCAAAAGTCACTTTCTACTCTTGGTCACTCAGCTCCACCAATTTGACAATCGGTACGTTCTTCTTTACATAGCTGGATATTTTCTTTTGTCCACCACTTTCACTTTTGAGTCTGGACTGGAAATAAATTGTAGTAATTGGACTTCAGATAGATTCAAGCCAGTGTCTCACCTTGTGTATCAATTTTGCTTCCTCTATCCCAATTTAGAATATCAAAGATTGGGGTAGAACTAAAACTGGTTCACTCAGAATCAGGTGCAGTTGTGCATGGTAGCTAATCAGCTTCTAGCCTCAGCTTGTTCAAATAACCACTTCCTGTCCGGCCCATGTACTTGGCTGGACGGGAGCAGTGCAGGAGCGGGTGGTCATTTATAAATGGCCCCCGCATTTACTGCCTGTGTGCGCTCCCTGGGAACACCAACCGCTGTACGGGACCTCTGTGTGAGGTCCCGATCATGTGATCACTGATTGGCCAATCAGTGATCACATGAATAGTAGTAAGCAAGATGTCACTTCCTGACATCATTGCTCACTACAAGTGAAATCTGTGATCACAGGTCACATGGTACAAGGCTATTCACAACAGCCTTGTACCATGTGACAAGCTGTGACCAATCGCATTATTTCTCAATGGCTGCAAGAATGCAGCCAGAGAGGAGGAGAAATTATTGCTTTTACAGCCTTTATGGGTGTAAAAGCAATTGGTGTAAAATAAATAAATCTTAATCCCCCCCCCCCACCCCCCCCCACCCCCCCCCCTCCCCCCACAAGTAGTAATGTCACTATGGTGTCACTGTACTGATAGGGTGACAGTATGTTAAAAAACACACAATATTATAAAAAAATAAAACTTAAAAAATTTTAAAAAAATTATAATTTTTGGCCATAAACTAATTTGGTTTTTTTATTTTTTCACTAAAAAGATAGCTGAATACATTTTGGCCAAGATTTATTAAGAAAGATTTGCAATATTTTTATAAGAAAAACACTTTTTTTTTTTTTCCTAAATGTTTGGACTTTTTCATTTTATATAGCATAAAAATCCCAGTGGTGAATAAATACCACCAAAATAAAGTTTTATCTGTCTCAAAACAAATGCTAAAAAATTCATGTGTACAGTGTTGCATGACCGCGCAATTGTCATTCAAAGTGTGATGGCACTGAAAGCTGAAAATTGGCCTGGGCAGGAAGGGGATGAAAGTGTCCAGACCTGAAGTGGTTAAGATTTGTCAATAAAGTCTGGAAGCTGATTGGTTTCTATCCAGAAGTGCACCTAGTTTTGCTCTCTCCAGCTTTAGTAAATAAACCCCTTTGTATTTCACGGACTGTAAATCCTACTGTAATCGCCATTAGGAGCCCTACGTTATGGGCTGAGCAAGAGGGCAGTAAGATCAGCCTGTAATGTAAAGTGCTGTTTATTTTTATGTTCATTTTATTGAACATTGAAGACGGTGGGATATTCATGGTGGACATATAAATCAAAGCTGAGGTTGCAGTGTGGAGCAAACATTACCACTACTGGATATGGCTATGATTTCAGACAATGTTTTATATATAGAGAAACAAAAATCTTGTCGGCCTGCAGCTTAGCTGGCAATACATAAAATGTCCGTTTATATTTACGGAGTACCTGGTTTGTGTTGATCTTAAGCTTGGGTTCACACTGATGTGGTGTGGAATTAGCAGAGTTTTCACCACATCAGAATCACACCCTGTTCATGTGAACCGATGCGGGTGTGTATGTTAAATACCCCGAAATTGGTCCCCAAAACACAGTGCAATGTGCAGAATCGGATCTAATAGTTGTGAATGCCCATGCAATCAGATTCTAGTGTGGACCCAAAAAAGGTTCCTGTACCTTATTGGTGCGGTTGGAGCCATACATAACACAAATTGCATGTGATTTGCACAGGAATGTGGTGCGGTTCCTGTGCGAATCACATGCAATGCACCGCATTAGTGTAAACCTAGCCTAAAACGGGGTTTCAAAAGTTTTGGGGTATTTTTGTTTAGCAAAAAATAAACTCAGTGGTGATTAAATACCACCAAAAGAAAGCTCTATTTGTGCGAAAGGAAATACTAAAACATTTTTATGGGTACAGTTTTGCATGACTGCACAACTGTCATTCAAATTGCGACAACACTGAAAGCTGAAAATTGGCCTGAGCAGGAAGGGGGTAAAAGTGCTTGGTACTGAAGTGGTTAAACTGACAGCATATTGGTACTTGGGTGTAGATCAATGACAGAATCCCAGTTCAGGTTGTAATACTGCAATGTAGAAAAATTCCAAATGGTTGAATACTTTAGCCATACAGGGTGGGTTCAACTGGTCCCTCAGCTTTGCATCTTGGCTTCCTATTTAGCAATCTAGAATATAGGTGGGGCTTGGGACAAGTTAAGGAAACTTAATGCTGTGTGCCTGTTTTACCCATTTTCTGTATCAAACCACCTTTCCTTGCTTTATTGGCTGATTGGTTTCTGTGGCCAGCTGTATTCACTCTTGCTGTTAGATTCATATGATGATAGTGATACATGTTAAAATACTTAGTGTCTCACAGGTAACCTTCACCTAAAAGAAATGGCCAACAATGGGGAAATAATTTTTGCCTCTTTTGTTTGCCTTTGTTTTGCTACTTGGTAACTCGTCCTACATCTGTTTTATTCCAGCCGTACTCTGACCGCAGTACATGATGCCATCCTTGAAGATTTAGTGTACCCAAGTGAAATTGTGGGCAAGAGAATCCGTGTGAAGTTGGACGGCAGTCGGCTTATTAAAGTCCATTTGGACAAAGCACAACAGAACAATGTTGAACACAAGGTAACTTTTATTGAATGTTGTCAGACAATGAAAGGACAAGCCTTTGGCTTTTAAGTTGTTTAACACAACCTTGGTTTAGCAGTTGCATAATAAGTGTAGTTGGGCTGGATGAAAAATATACAGAATTTCTTGGCTTTACTGAATGAAACCCAGAGGAGCACTTTCTCAAGTAAAGGCCACATGTCTATAGGGCAAGGCTTTTGGCCACAGCTGACATAGGGATGTTGGGTTTGCTTGTGTTAGTGAATTATTCTGACTTATCCATGTGATCACATGTTCGGAAAGCTCCCTATTGCAAGTATGCATTGGTCACTGCGCTGGGGGCATGCCCTCAGTACAGTAATGTTTACATATATATATAGATAGATGTATAGATATATATAGATATAGAGATATAGATATATATCTCTGCTCATTGTTAACATGCTTGCGTGCCCTGTTTGCGGCCTCAGCTGTCTATCACCGGGTCCCGGGTGGTTATTCCATGCCATCACCCGGTGATCGCAGAGTATCACCACAGATATCTCCCCTGTCAGCTCCTGCACACTGCTTTGCAGAGCCATACAAAGCAGTGTGCTGACAGTGTAAAGCTCAGTTAACCCTTTGCCCCATGTTAAGCCCTTCCTGCCCAGTGCCATTAGTACAGTCAATGCTTTTTATTAGCACTGATCACACTATTGATGACACTGACATCCACAGTGACACCAAGTCTGTTCCCCCCAGTGTCAGAATGTCCTTCGCACTTCCGCTACAAGTCACTGATTGCTGCCATGCTATAACTTTCACGTAAACCAATTTACATGTATTTTATTTATTTTTTTCGTTTTTAGCAGACCTGTGGTGGAATACATTTTGTCTTAAATTTGTGGGGTTTTTTTTTGTTTTTTTTGTCTGGTTTTTTTGTTTTTACTGGACATGTTTAATAGCAAAGTCATAATTTTTTTTTTTTTTTCCCCAAAATTGTCAGGATTTTTTTGTTTATAGTGCAAAAAATTAAAACCACAGACGTGATCAAATATCACCGAAAGAACGCTCTGTGGGGTAAAAGGACATAAATTTAATATGGGTGCAATGTTGCATGACCACGCAATTGTCATTTAAAGTAATGCAGCGCCATATCACAGAAATTGGCCGGGTCAGGAAGGGGGTAAATCCTCTGGAGGGCAAGTGGTTAAAGCCACCTGCTGAGAGGCAGCAATATATGTCTACCACAGGTGGGAAGTGGCTAAGATTCTAGACCTTCAGATTTTTTAACCAGGAATGAAGGTAACCCTTTTCTGTTGCCAAAAAAGTTTTTTTTTTTTTTTTTTTTTACCCTGTGTATCTATCCCAGCAAGATTGAACATAGCTTTATGCTACTATAGCTTTTACCTGTTGACAAATGTGTTGCATAAAAGTCTTTTAGAGAGACCAAGGTGGTCATAGGTGGCTTCCTTATCATAATGCCAGACTTTTTTGTCCACAGGTTTCAATATTTTGGGTCACTTGACCTAGAACAATTATGCAGCCAGTGCAGTCAAAAATCCTTGTATGCATACTTATTCAAAACAAGAGACTTAAAATATTGAATCCAAGGGAGTCAGTGTAATAGCCAAGCAACTATTTTTTTTTTTTTTTTAAATGTGCAGTAGTGGCAGGCTTTCACTTTTTCTTATGCAGCTATTCTTTTAATACCCAACGTGGATATCCTGTGAGGTTGCTCTCACAGGCTCTGTCCTGGTGGCGTATGGGAGCGTAGCATCTTTATGGCGCAGTGACGTACAGTCCCGTTCCACAACGTTGGAGAACATGCATGTCCCCCGCCTTCGTGCTGGTGCGGACAGCGTCCTGTATATTCCTACAACTTCTCAGAGCCTTCTGGCTATTACTGAGGAGAAAAACCATGCAGGATACATAATATGAATTTTCTATAAGGTTTACAATCTGTTCTTGTTGTATGAGTAACTTTTGTTTTTTTTTTTTTCCCTTTTTTTTTTTTTTTTTTCTATCTAGGTTGAAACATTTTCTGGTGTCTACAAGAAACTCACAGGCAAAGATGTGATTTTTGAATTCCCAGAATTTCAGCTGTAAAGTGCTAATGATGTAATTAAAAAAATACTTCTACTTTTTGTTTTTGTCTGTTTTCGGCTCCCCCCCCCCCCCCCCCAAAAAAAAAAGATGTTTTAATGTGTAAGTAAATGTTTTATCAGTGGAAAGTGGTTTTATTTGTAGAACTGCTTGATTGTAAATGTGTCCCTTCTCATTTTAGACAGATGCACAAATGTAGGTTGGTATCACTGTGTGGGTCTGTGTCATGAAATACTGCTCATAACATCACTGCAGTAGAGGCACGTCTGCATTAAAGTAATTGTACCAAACCTGGATAATTTAGAAGCAGTGTTGGCAAAAGCCTAACTGGGCATAAATAAGCAATGTGTCCCATTCCTGGTGAAGAAGTTAAAGCTTGTTTGACTTGGGGATCATGTTAGAGTAATACCTTTTTTTTAAAGCGTTACTAAACCGACAACAGTAAAATCCATCTATATGCAGTAAAGCATGCTTATTATACTTGTGGAACTTAAGGGGGTTAATCCTCTGCATTATGTAGAAAGGCCATTTGATCCAGACTTCTGATTCTTCTAGTGTCTCACTCTTCTCTCCTGAGGAGACCTATATTGTGTGGAGTCACTCTGCACAAGCTCAGTTTGGTGTGTATAGCTAGAGGTTTTTTTTTTTTCTTTTTTTTGTGGGAGAGTGCTGATCACCTGCAATTGGCACTGTCCAGACACAGGGGGGGTCCTGCATCCTTTTAGAGCAGAATGAAAACGCCTTCCTACAAGCTTTAACTTGTGCTTGGATGGACACTTATAGAAGTCACAAGACTGCTCTGAGAAGGTATTTAGCGGTTATATTTGCTAAAATTGTATTTCAGTGTTCTGTGTGCTGTGGGAGACCAGATATAGTGAATGCAGGGTCCTGGGTTTAGTAACACTTTAATGCATGGATATGCAGCAGTCCTCTGCTGGCCTGACTGGTCCAATCATGCTCATTTTTCTGACCTGTACAATGCAGGTACATATCATCTAGTGCCTGCATTTCAGATGTTGTGAAATTTAAAATGTATTTTTAAAAAAAACAAAACTTTTTTTTTTTTTTTTTTTTGGTTAAGGGCTCTTTCATATGTCCTTCTTTTTTTTTTTTTTTTTTTTTTTTTTTTAATCTGTTTATGGATGAAAAACAGACACAAACCTATTTATATGGACTAGCGGATGTAAACAGATGATCTGTTTACATCCATTGATGTCCACATCAGTTCACACGTTTTCATACATCCAATTTACCAATGTAAAAAATGGACTGTGTCAGTTTGTCGTGTGGTGTTTTTTTTTCTTCTAAAGACGTAAACTGACGTGTGGTCTGTTTTTTTTTTTTTTCCATTGGCAAAGGATGTATGAAACCGTGTGAACTGATGCGGGGTTTTTTTTTTTTCCATCAGTCACGTTTTTATCCAAGAAAAAAGTAATACCTATGTGACTAGATCCTAACACTTCTGGCAGCTTCTAACATTCTGCCTCTTTTTTTAAAAATTAAACTACAAGGTGGTGTTTTTTGTTTTGTTGTTTTTTTTGCAAGAGATATGCAGGCTCGTTTTTGCTTAACATTGTGTTTGGTGCTCCTCACAATTCTTTTTGTACATTGCACATGTGCTGTGCATGGTACATTCTAGCTCCTTCTCATCCGGATGTACACAATGGGAAGGATAGTACAGGGCAGTGCATTAATTACTAAAAACCCATTAATTGACAAGACAACTCAAATGACAAGGAAGTTTTGAGTTTCCAACCTGTTGGAGCACAGATGTGTTGAAGACCTTAAAGCAGCAATGGGCAAACTACGGCGGAGCTAGGCTCCTCTCACAGTCCGCCCTGAAGACCAGTGTAGCATGAAAATCTGTCTCCTATGAGGATCTGTCCCCCTCGACGTATCTGCGCATGTGTCGGAGATCGCCGATCGGCTGTTAATGCCTGAAACTGGCACATGCGCAGATACGTCGAGGGGGACAGATCCTCATAGGATACAGATTTTCATGCTACACCGGAACGGCGCGGGAAGACGGCGAGAGGAATGCGCGGAGCAAAGGTAAGTGAATTGACACAGGGGGGACTTACTATGGGGGATGAATTACAATATGGGGGATGAATTACTATAGGGGGGAATGAATTACTATATGGGGGATGAATTACTATGGGGGAATATTACTATACTTACTATGGATGACACATACACATCATTCATCTACTCTTGGTCCGGCCCCCGGGTCCAATATATGAACCCATTGCGGCCCTCAAGTCAAAAAGTTTGCCCACCCCTGCATTAAAGTGTTAAAGACAGTTGTTACAAGGTCTAGCATGTGATGCCCTTGGTTTTGGATTTTTACCAACAAATTGGGATCTATTGTCTGATGATGAAGTGGGAGAAAATGTGGGTTCTTTTCATCACCAATGTCTTTAGTTTGCTCAATATAAAAATGGTTCTCTACAGTGGTAAGTAGGATAATAAAGGGGCAGCAAAGTGGCTAAATGGTTAGCACTTCCGCCTGGCAGTAGTAGGGTTGTCTGTTTGAATCCCAACCATGGCACAATCTGCTTGGAGCTTGCATGTTCTCTCTGTGACTGTATGGGTTTCCTCTGGATACTCTGGATTCCTCCCACGCTCCAAAAATATGCTGGTAGGTTATCTGGATCCTGTCTAAATTGACCATAGTATGTGTATGTATGAATGGAAGTTAGGGACCACTGTTCAACAGGTAAAAAGTTTTGGGCATAAAATTAGCTAATCTTACATAATTTTGGGGTGCTGAAAACGAAAATGACGCTAAAAAATGTTGATTGGCTCTAGTTTCCATGATATATTCACCCATCTAATGACGTAAGCCATTCAAAATTATGATGCAACTTCAGCTGCATATTGTGCAATTGATACTGGTGACCAATAGAAAATTGCATGTATACTGAGATGATGCAATATTAGCCTTTAATTGCATCACTTCACTGCATAAAAGCTGCAGTATCTGTAGCTGATTGTAGTTTGACAGCGTCTTTACATTTCGTTTTATGCTTATATAGGCTACTCAGTAATGCCTCGAACTTGTGTGAATAAAGCAGATAATTTCTGCTATATCTGCGGTGAAATAACTTTTATCTCACAAAAAAGGAGGATAACAGGAATGATTAAGAAAGCCTACACCTTGTATTTTGGCTGCAAGATAGGAGACCAGGACAAGAGCTGGGCACCACATATATGCTGCAATTCTTGTGGGACGGCACTGGAGCAATGGTTGAATGGAAAAAAGGCATCTATGCCTTTCGCTGTGTCAATGATTTGGAGAGAGCCAACAGATCATGTTAGTAATTGTTACTTTTGTATGGTGCCTTCAATTGTAAAAGGGCTAAATAAGAAGAAAAAGTTATCTGTGCACTATCCAAATATTCCATCGGCAATACGTCCAGTTCCTCATGGAGAGGGGCTACCAATTCCTAAAGCACCAGAATCCTTCGTGGTTGAGTCAAGTGAGGAAGAACCTGAAGCGTGTAGTCACGTGCAGTTGTAAGAGATAGTCCTTTCCTCGAATACAAGAGAAGCAAAACTGACACAAACTGAAGATAAAACTAGTGAGAATCCTAAGTATTAAAATGATTCAACTTAGCTTATGGCTATAATTTTTCTTGGTAATCCTATGCAATATATTATGCCATTTAGGCTTTGTTATGTAGTCAATATCACTTGCTTTATATTTGTGGAAAGACATCTATCTATACAATTATTGTGCATTATGTAGTCATTATGCCTATAGTAGGAAACTTTCCGTTTACAGAAAAACTAGAGCCAATTGACAAATTCATTGTTATATTTGAACTCAGAATGTGAAATTCATTAAGAAATGGATCCTTTTGTTTCCAAAACTGGCAAAAAATAAAAATTTGTTGAACAGTGTTATATGCCCCTTGAGGGTTAGGGACTGATGTGAATATACAATAAATGTAAAGCACTGTGTAAATTGATGGTGCTGTTTTAAGTACCTGTAATAAATAAAGGAGAAATCTGTGTATGGAGTTGCCAGGAAAGAAAGTGTATAAACAGACAAAGATCAAACATTTTCTTAATTGTTCATCTCAGGGCACAGCGATTCTTCATGTTCAGGACTGCTTGAATTATGCTGTCACCCACTGGTGAATGGGCACTGGTCAGAAAGCAGGCTGGCTTCCCTGCCCAGGCATAACCCAATACACCACGGCCTCCATTTTCTGCTACAGTCCATAGGTTTTGGATATTTTTCTTATGGTGTTTTGCCTATGTAGTTACTACCTCTTTCTATATATTCCTTCTGAAGAAAAGGAAAGGGCTTTATCCAGATTGGTCACCTAGAGCCAAGAGGGGGCGATACCTTGGGCTCATACCCCAAAAATTGGTGGCCACATGCTGTGTTGCTTGTCGGCATCAGATCCTGAAAGCAATCCTCACCAGGGTGATCTGGTGATGTTATTGGCAATGTGCTCTAGAGGTCCATAGTAGAAAATTCCCTGTTGGAGTCCTGTCCTTGGCCATGTTTGGAGCATTCCTTCTGGGATGGATTGGGTTAATTATAACCCTGTGGCCTGAGTATGTGAGTGCCTACTGATAGCAGTCCCCATTTGTTGTGGCTATGTATTAAGGGTAAAAAAAAAAAAAAACAGCCTTTACAACCACTTTAAAGGCTCTCTTACTCTTGCAGGCATACTTTGAACAATTTATTTATCTTCTGTTTCCTCTCTAGAAGGACCCTGATTTCTATTCACATATGCAGGATCTTGTGGCTCAAACCTAGTTTGCTAAAGCTGTCTGTAAAAGATGCCTCACGCTTAAGCCTTTTGAAAAGATGTCTTTTTGGTGGGAGTTAAGGTCCTACTTCTACAATAGAAGGTTCCAAAGTCCCCTTTTTCAGGAGAGTCCACCTTCACAAGACATCTTTCCAAAAATCCTCTTCCAAATGAAGGGACATGTTTGCTCCTAGGAGTGTGTGGTGGTATCTATTACAATTTTCCTTTCTCTGG